ATCACTATTCTCACCTACATAGATACACACAACCAACTAGACATCCTCCTCAAGAATCCTTCACCCAAGCAAAAACTTCCAATAATAATAACAACTACCTCATACAACTAACTACCCATCAACATACCCACCCACGCCTAGAATCAAGATACACTCCCCAAACCCCACAAAGTCACTCGACGCCCAAAATCACAAATCTACATTCCCATCAACAAACTCCAAAGCACTCCTGAACACTCACTGCGTCACACCACCCGATAATAGAATGATCAAGTGACTACAGATTCTCATTAGCTATAACATATTCCCCCCCCCCCCCCCCCCCCCCTTCTTCAAAACCCCAAACCAAAAAGTCCCAACCATAATTCCCAAATGCCCCTGTAGACAAAATACCCACCCCAATACACACCAAGTTACAACCATCACCACACCTCCCTCACGATCATCACCCACTTAATCCCTATCTACTCTACAATTAAATCATATCATACCATAGCATCTAGTTCCACAAAGTCAAAACCTCAACTCATCGAGTTTCGAGAATTTTAAATTCCAAAACTCCCATTGATGAAGTGATTGTGCCTAGATACCTACCTGGACATCCATGATATAAGATGAGATTTCGCTTACCTTGGTAGCAGAGCAGAGGACGTATTATTAATCATGATATCAGAAGTAGGGCATTCCAGGCTCCATCTTACTGTTCACCCCCACCGTTAACGAAAGCGAGTCAAGGCATGCGAGCTCGTTAAGATGTCAAAATATACACTCTAAGCCTCATCCAGACCTAGAAACTACTTCAATACAAAATCAAACACACCCTTATAAAGTAAAGGTTTTTAAATTTTTTCATTTTTATTTGGAAAAACGCAAAAAGAACTATAATGCCCTTCCTATGTCCGTAAACAACGCAAACGCTCCTTATAAAATATCATCAATAACCGTAATGTCATTCCTACCCACCCATTCCACTCCATCCCATCCATCCATTAGAAGATACCCACTTGGAATCAACCAAAAGGCAGCGACCGACAGAACTAAAGAAGTCGCACAACTAAATAAAAAAGTAAGAGAAAAAGCTTCACAGACAACAAAGTTTGCCGTGCATTTCGTGCTAGTCCCTGTATTTCCTTCACCGGATCTCGTAATATGGTAATCGTCGTATGCATATCAATCTGCGTGATTCTCGCTGACTCCTTGTATTTCTTCAGCTAATATCATGATATAACTTTTTGCTTTTGTATTTCGACCCCTCAACTGAGGATATATTGACCTCTCTTATGAGAGTTGTGGGGAGTCTCCTTTCCACGATGTGTTGCATTTGTGCTACATTTATGCAGCAATGAGTGGCTCCTCCTCAGCAACAATTCCGGATTTGAACTCCTCCTTTGGTGCTGTTGGGAAATCCTCCTCCTTGATACCGTTGGTCTTGGCAGTTGGGGAGGCAACTCTGCTAGCTTCTGGAGATCCAGAGCGGCTTCTAGCACTTCCGATCATTTCTTGTGCCTTGTGAGCGTACTCTCCAGCATATTGCTTGGTGGTCTCGGCAACGTGAGAAGCGTGTTGACTAGCAAGCTGCTTGACTTGCTCGGTTTGTTGGTTGACAATGCTCGAGATTTGAGCGAGGGTGTTGTCAATGAGCTCCTTGTTGGTCTTGTAGACAAGTGGGGAGATGAACAGAACTGAAGTGGCGATGAGAGTGAGACCCCAGAATGGAATGAGCTTGATCAAGTAGTAGGAAATGAAAGATCCGATCAAGGCCTGTTTAAGTCAGTACTTCGTATTTTATGGCAAGGAATTCGAGGATTTCTTACAGTGAGAGAAACAAATACATTCTCGGCAAAGAGAACACGTTGTGACTCAATGACAAAGAAGTTGATAAGTTCATGAACATCACCGAGTAAGCTATCGAGCGTCTCTTTAGAAACTGTGTAATACTTCTTAGGTCTGAATTGAGAAGTGAGTCCATGCGAGAAAGCTAGCTTTCCGAGACCTTCTGCGAGAACAGTCACAAACAAAGTCATATATGTGATCTTGAATGAATATCGGAGGATATCAAGATATCTGGCAGCGAAGACAAATGCAACGGTAGAAAGGTATGCAATTCCAGATGCACGAGGATTCTCCCACGATAACAAATTGTAGAAGAAGGAATGGTAATGTGTGAGTTGTTGACCGGTAACGGTTTGAGTGGCAGGGGTGGTGCGAGAGCTTGCGAGGTTGGAAAATTCGGCTTGAGTCTTTTGATGTTGGTCTCGTACATTATCTGCCATTGGGCCTATGGTGAAAATGTCAGTATTGTGGTTTGTAAACATATGTCATGAGAAGTCATCGTACCGTTTACGACACTTTGAGTGATGGGGTGATTTCCAACAGCGTTGGCAGCTGCAGAGGCATCTGAATCGATTGATTAGTTTATTTCCTGTATTGATCTCATTGTGCGAGGTTTTGAACTGTTTCATTATTAGCGATGTGGACTTTGGTGATTTGTGTGATTTATGTGATAGATTGATAGATTGATAGATATAGCTTACCTTACTGTCATAAACTGTATTCTTTGCATTCTCCATTGTGCTGGTGGTCCCTTCAGTGGAAGTTGTACTGGCGTTGGAAGGAAAATCTGACATAATATGTGTAGAAATTGATGGTTGTGTGTGGAAGAAGGGAAGCAGTCGAGGAAGCTCTTGATGATAAGCTTGTGATGGAAAGGTGGTTGATTTTTGTTCGATGATGCGAGGTATGGAGGTGGTGTATTCTTTGAAGTTGTACCTGGCAAAGGCTTTTTGTTTAAAAGAAAGCAAAAGTACTAGGTACGATAGTCTTTCACAGTTTATTAATTGAATTGCAATTATGACGAAAGCTGGCAAGAAGAAGACCGATCGATTCTTTTGTCCTTTTCTTTCTGACCTACGAAAAGCTGCAGTAGTGGGTTGAGAAATGGGAAGAAAGTGGAGTCAATATGGTCGCACTTGCACAAGCCAAACAACTTCTAGAGGGCAGAGCTTGATATGGATGTATTTTTGGTTCTAGTGATGTCCAATGGGGTTTAGCGTCGAGTGAAGCACGCGAGCAATCCTGTTCTTTTGTCCTTTGGCATGGGATTTGTTTGGATTTCAAGGTTATAGGCTTGTACAGTACCTGGGTAGGTAGGGAGGGAGTAGGGCGGAGTAGGGACGGAGCAGGTACTCTACTCTACACGGGAGAGTATTCTGTAGGTAGTAGGTAGGTAGTAGGTAGGTAGTAGGTAGGTAGTAGGTAGGTAGTAGGTAGGTAGTAGGTAGGTAGGCAGGTAGACAGGTAGACATTGGACATTGGACATTAGACACTGGCTGGAGTGAGTGAGTGATTGGACATTGGACATTGGACATTGGACACTATCCACTATCCAGTGTACAGTGTGCAGTGTACAGTCACTGACTGGTCAGTGAATGGTGCTTAGGATGGGGCACGTCATAATCGAAGCGCCACACTAGAAAATCTGGCACGCACGGTTACAGACTGATTACAGACTGATTACAGACTACAAAGTACAGTTACATTACTACGGGATACCATTTGGACCAGACCATGCAGTGGCACAATACAATGGCATAGGTAGGCAGGTACATACATCATGCTCCGTACATACCTGGGAAGGCAACATCTAAGCATTCCTTTAAATTCCCTTTCGCATTTATATCTTCATGATTCATGATTCACCCCCATCCGCATTTCCATACCAATTATTAACAGCATCGTGGTCTTTTCACCACCTACTGTATTCTGCTGGAAACAGAGACATATCTAAAATCACATCTACTCCCTAGCACATAATTCTACCCAGTCGTTCCCTAGTCATTACGGATACCTATCATGCAGACTCGCTCGCTTGCGTGCGTGGGTGTCTCTAATTGTCCATTGCTTTTGCTTTTTCCTCTTCCTTCTTGCATGTGATTCTTATCTATCGCCGCGATGAATCATACGAAAAATGTTCCAGTCCCTGTTTCGGTGACTGTCACAAAATATCTGCTGATGACGGAGATTGGTGAAAAGAGGACAACGTGAATCTGGAGGTGCTGACTCATATATCATCTAACGTACCAACTTTTCATTCCTTATATTCCTTCACTTATGTGTCCTCGGTGAAAAGTTGAAGAAACTGGAAACCTTTACTTACATTAGAAGGGGCCCAGATCCAGTAAGACATGGGATGAGGTGGGGGTGTTCTAGCTACTAGGTATTGAAGCACAATGCGTCACATCTTTCAGTCTCCACCAAAGCCTAAGAAGGTATCTCATTCCCGTCTTCACTCTGACTTTTCTTTGCCCAACCAATTATCTGAATTAATTTCATCATTAGGGTTTGGTTGCTCTGATACCCTAATGTTGAAACTCTTCTCTTTTCTATATCACTGCGATCCAAAATGGAAACATTTCCATCGTTTCTGTGAGACCTTTGTGGCGTGTGGATCAGAGTGAGCACAGTTCTCGAATTTCAACTGATAAGAATTCCGTGCCCCGCGAAGGATCTTTTGTGGGTATGTGTGTATCAGTAAGATTACACCATCATGAAAATACTCTCCCATATAAATATTTGAAATCAACTCATCTATCTCGATCATTCCAAGGCTATTGAAACGAGCATCTGTTGAAGAGTTTACGTCTGACATGTGAAGCATGTCAAAGACCTAATGCTAATGACATTTCGTCTATTGCGACAAATTTCTCACTCCAAGTAATTTGCATTTGCATTTCCCTATTGAAAACCAAATGTTGGTTAAGCACGCGCTCAAGATTTACAAAGTCGAGGAAACAATTCGTGGTTTCCTCAATATGAAACAACACCTACTTGTTGATCAAGAAAATATGGAATTTTCCTATTCATTCTATCGACTAACACTCAAGTGATTTCAAGATCATAGGGTCCAAAGAAACAAATTGCTATTAAATCCTAAAATACAAGCTAACACAGAAACACCCATTTAACAAACATGCAAGTTCAACAACCCCCCAAATTCTCAATCAAGACATAGGATTAGGATATGCCACAACCTGACTCATGACATGAGTACACAACTCACTACTCTGTCCCACCGTCTGCACCGTGTTCCAGTCCAAATACCCATAAACCCACTCTCCCGGACTCATCAGCGCCGCTGGCGTATAATTCGCACAATGCTTCACATATATTAAATCATCCAACACACCGATATCGAACCCCGACGTCGTCATGGGTACCTCGCTCAAATTGCATAGAAAGGCAACGGTGCCGTGATACTGAGTAGGAGCAAATGCATTACTTATATCCGAAAGCGTATCTTGGCTTGGCATCATGCCGACCCCGAAACAGGGCCATCCGGGAGATATGGTGGTGCAGGTACTGGTTGTGTTGGCTTGAAGAACGGAGCGCGCTTGGTTGGTGGCGGTTTCGGGGAGGAAGCCAGCGCCGCAAGTTGCAGTGGCGGCGGTGGCAGAGGCGGCGAAGTCGGCGGTGAGGGTTCCGGTTGTTTGGATGGTGCTGCTGGATGAAGTGCTGGATGAAGTGCTGGATGAAGTTGTGGATGCGGTAGTGGATGAAGAAGTAGATGAAGTCTTCTCAGTAGAACATAAAGAGGGCGATAACGAACAATTCGTCTCTTTCGCCCTTTCTACTACCGCAGCCGCAATAGCATTGCCGATAAAGGCAAAAAGAAATACCCTATGAAGTCTCATCTGGTCCCTAGCTTTCAATGCAAAATATTTCACAGCACAAGGTAAGTTATTCAGTCCGTAAACTCAAAAGAGATGAGAGAAAGACAGAAATCAAGTATCGATGTCAAGAGTGCGGATACATGAACAGCAAGAATAGACAAAATTTCAGATCATGAACAGAGATCTATACAGTAAGAGTTTATGTATGGGTATTCATTTTTTCGTCGCTGTTGGACCTGTCGGTCGATACATAGGCTGGGTCATGTATCTCGTCGTTGCATAGAGATGTGTACGGATTAGCAACCGGATGAGGTCGAGAATTAGGTATTTGATGTCGCAAAGCCTTGCGAGAGACCTCGAGCGTATCAACGCGTATTGAGCTTTGATGATTCTAGATTCTGGAATGAGTTCTTAGAGATTGCGATATTGAGATGTAGAGTTTTTCTTTTCTTTGAATGGGATATGCATAGATGTGCTGTTCAATCATGTTCATTCGATCTATCAAATTCATATGTACATACACAACCAAATCAAACTAAACCAACACAATCCCCAAACCACCAACAGTCATTTTCTTTTCCCACTCCGTACATCTATCCATCCATTACATAATTAACAAAACTACAGTCCCAACTAAAGGACGCAGGATCATGTTAAGCGCCCATAACTGCGAAAGGATTCGGCAGAATCGCATTTATTGAGGTCGAAATGCGAGGACCGCGTTTATTCATCCTGGGGGTATCTACTGCGTATGAATTGGGATGGGAAGGATGCGGATATTGGGATGGGGGGATTGGGAGGTGGAAGATGGATCATGTGAGAGGCACGTGTTTGTGCGGTGTGGTTTGGAGGATGGGGGTAAGGATAGGAGTTTTCGATTCGAGTTTTGATTGTGGAATGTGGATGTGAGTTTTGAATATGAGTTTTGGATGTGAATTTCAGATGCGAAATTTAGATGATGAATTGAGTTTCACTCCTTGATCTTCTGTGAATGTTATTGGGGTCGGTCTATTCTGTACTCGGCTTTTGGAAATCACATCAGCTAAGTACCTAGTAACTTGATATATATCAAAATTCAAATCCAACTCCTCTCTTCTTCAACGCCCCTAGAGTAAAGGCCTCAACGCCTCCGCTGTGTCAATCGTACTCTCCTTGAAACTCCTAAATCTAAACCTCATCTCCCTCTGTGCCTTCTCTCCACTCACACGCGGTCTTTCCGGGGCCCAATCCACACTCTCTACCTTCCCCGTTTCCTTATTGTATCCTCCGTACCCCTCCCCGGGATTCCCAACCACGATCTTCTCAAGAGTTTTCTCGTCTCCCTTCTCCTTGAAATACTCCCGTAGAATATCAGCCTGCGCCTGCGCGGGCCCAGTTCCCGAACACGCTATGTAGCGCTCCCCGTCTGATTTTTCAGGATGCTCGAACGCCCAGATATGCATGTACGCGACATCGCGCACGTCTACGGCACTGCCGGTGCCGGTGGCAGGTGAGATGGATTTGGTGGCGCCCGAGAGGATGTTGTAGATGGGTTTGAGGGTTTCGTTTAGTTTCTCGCCTGTTTCGGGGAGGGATACCGGGGGCCCGATGACGAAGGCGGGGTTGATGGTTGTGAGTGCGAAGGAGGGGGATTGTTCGGAGCGGAATTTCCAGACGGCGGCTTCGGCGGCGCTTTTGGAGGCGCCGTAGAGAATTCCGGCGTTGGAGGGACGGTTTTCTTGGAGATCGTTTTGCGCTTGGGTGAGGTAGAAGGAGGCGAAGTCGCTTTCGGTGAAGGTGTAGGGGTCGGTGCGGGGATCTACGACGGCGATGACGGAGGAGGTTATTACTACGGTTTTGAGTTGGGGTCCGGCTTTTAGGGAGGAGAAAAGCAGGGTGTTGGTGCCGTCTATTGCTGGAGTGACCATTTGGGCGTAGGTTTTAAGGCTGAAGTTTATGGGAGATGCGGTGTGGAAGATTCCATCGACGCCTGGTATATTGATTAGTCCCATGCAGTTCAATTCAGATCGTCCGCTGAGAGTGAGGGGAGTAAAGAGAGCGAGGGAATTGAGACTTGCCTTTAACAGCTTCGTCGAAAGCACCAGAAATTGTCATATCAGGTACCTCATATATCTTCACTCGGTCAATATAAGGTGCATAGGGTCCTTTGAGCAATGGCTCGGCACTAGAGATACGACGAGTGGTACCGCGAATAGAATAACCGGCTTGTAGAAGGTGAAAACCTATGACACTGGCTATGTAGCCATTAATGCCGGTTATAAGGACTGTCTTGTTGTTTGAGGATGGGATTGCCATTTTGAAGTAGGGCATATGTGATTGCTGTTGAATATATAAATGATTGACTTATGGAAATAACAAGTAATGAAGAAAACTACTTCTTTCGACGCTTGATATCCTGATATGCTCTTGACAATATGAATTTGAACTTTGATTGAAAGAAACTGTCCAACATGATGGACCTACTTGACACATATATACCTAATCCACTTCTGGACGGCTCCATACAAAGCACAAGATATGATGAAACCGGCCACGTTGCCAAGTCGGAGAATAAAGATCAATATTCCTGCCGAAATCCCCTTTTCCGATATACAACTTTATGTCGTCAAGGTTAGAAATCCATTGTGGAATCATTATGAACCTCGGAATCATGTTGTCCCATTAATCCACTTTGGAGGTTTTGTATTTATGTAATCGGAAGCCGAGAAGTTAAGGTTTGAGATTGACATAACCGGGGATGAGTGTTACTTAGGTTAGACTGATAAATACAAGTATGCACCAGAGAGGACAGAAAAAAATCAGATGTGCAACAAAACATAAAGTCAGACTAGGCACGTGAGCGGTCAAAAACTTATCTTCTTAAGAGAAGGCGGTGTAGAATTTTAACGGTTTAAAACAATTCCACATGAACTTCAAATCCTTCAGAATTCATACACCGTCAAACACCTCATAGTCATGAGTACTACCAAACTCATCCCTTCACGCCCTCTGTTGCGTTATCTCAATGAAAAGATATACAATACCTCAGTCCGGCCGTTCTGCCATCTAGTAACGCAGCAGTCATCTACGGATTCGTTGCGCCGCTCCATCCCACTTCGCCTTCCACAACAATGTCGCCATATTATGTTGTCACGAATCGCGGAAAGGACAAGACATGGTAAATTGCAAGCTGATAACCATAAGATTCTGGATTATGTCAAGACATCACTCTTTTCTGAAACAGATTACCAATCACAGAAGATTAAATTATGGGTAGAAGCGGATAAAAAGCCTTACAGCAAGCCACACAGGTTTGTCGGCGTAATGACGATAGGTGATGTAATGAAAGACTACCTGTGTAACAGGAAGGAAGCGGTATTGGATCCGGGAGAAGGGACAAGCTGGATGCTAGTGCCCAGAACTGGGTTCCAAAATATCTCAAGGGGAGAGCGTCATCAACTGAAGGAGATAGCTGAACGTATTCATGATCTGGGAGCAACAGACGTTGGCGAATATGTTTTGATCAAACGAAAATCTTTCATGGTGCCGAAGCCCGGGAAAGCAATGAAAACCAAAGGAGGTCGTGGCAATGCGAAACTCATAAATTTGACAAAAGATGTTACGGGCGACAACCTGAGCGTGATGTTGGCAAAAGCTTATTACTTTCTAGAGACACGCAATTACAATGCAGAGTTTCACATACATTTCTCGAAAAATCTCAAGTTCAGCGAAGATGAGATGTTTCAAAAGATGATGGAGATGCCCGGTGGCTTGGCTCTACATCCTCAAGTCATTCAAAGCCAATTGCCTAGTGGTTCCCGGATCAATATAAAGCCTTGGAGTAATGGAAGAGAGCTTGTATGGGTTGTAGGGAGAAATTCATCACGTCAGCAAGAGGAATTGGTGTTACTTGCTAGGGATAATATCGCTCAGATGAAAGGAACTCATGAATTTGTGATTCACAGGGGAAAGGAGATGAAAAAAGATAAGAACTGGAGATTGAACCAAGATAAACGAGAGATCGAAACCTTGAAAAAAGAAGGCAAATCTTTCGATCACGTTCTTGAACGACAAAGGGAAATCAAGGCGCGTGAGGACGGTTTGAAATCAATGTTTAAGGAGGTGAAACTGGCAAAAAAACAGAAAGAAAAGGATAGGAAAGCGCGAAGGATTGAAGAAAGACTTAGCTATCAAGCACGTGGGCGAGCCATGTTGGCTGGTCGTTTGGAGCGAAAGAGAACATTGAGGACACGTTGGGAGCGAAGGAAACAAAACCTGAGAACAACGGAGAGTGAAAGAAAAGAGCGCGATGCGATGAGAGCATCTTTCCTAGCTCGGAGGAAAGCGATGAAGGCAGAACTAAAAGCCGAGGCTATGATAGGCACCGTGAATTATTATTCGAGATCGGCACAGACAGGAGCAAAAGGGGTAGAGCATAACGGATCAGGTGCAAGAAAAATACGATTGATTAAGTTCAAGGAGACAGCAAGGGATGTAGCGAAGAGAACATCGCTATTACGCACTCCACATCCTGCCGCACCGACTGCTTTGAGAATTGAAAAACAAAGGTCGCTGAGTCAAGTAAGAGCAATTAAAGTGAAGGCAAGAAGGGAGCTAGAGTTGAGAAGGAAGAGGGCAAGTCCTATTCGGTCGAAATTTGAGGATGTGATTTAAGATTTGGAAATCGGACAATGTAGCCATGGACAATTACATTATGATAAATTCCGTTTATGGATAATCTCCATATTTGCCGATCGTGTATTTTAAGAGCCAAGGCCTGTAGGACTTAAAGTATAGGTGAGTGTATTGTTACACGAAGTTAGACCAAACTTAAAAATGACTTCCTACTTTGTCGCATACGAAGAGCATATCACTTTGCCATCGCAAGGATTCTGATAGCGGCTTTATCTAGTGTTACCATCAATTTTATAGGTTGTAATCCAAACTTAGGCTGTTTAAATTGATTGTGGACAGAATTATTTCTTTTCTATTCCACTGGCAAGCATGAAAACACTGCCACATAGATTCCTGTAGTTGGTATTGGTCAAGTACTCTATTGATGCGGCTGTGCTTACTTTTGATTCCACGTCGCGAAACGACTCAATCCTCGAGCTCGTCCTTGAAATTTCCTTTCATTCTCCCAATTGATTTAGATTTGATTTGAATTCACATCATATATACTTTCGTGCAAACCAATTTTTTTTCACGAGCTACGGAACAGATCTTGTCTTTCAACAGCATACTCATGGCAGAAATTGGCATCATTGCCAGTGGCATGGGCGTAGCCTCGTTGGGGCTTCAGCTCATGGACGGCGTTAGAAAATTGAAACAATTCTGGGATGAGGTTAAAGAAGCACCTGAAGATATTCAATATACCCTTGAAGAGCTCGATGCACTAAGTCTGGTTCTTTCCGATATCCACACATCAATGTCAAACCTGCCATCGATTCCTTCGGCTACGGTCACAAAGTGTCTAGAGCTTTGTCGCCGTGGGACGGATATCCTCAATACGACAGTGAAGGATTTGAATGGGGCTATCTCCAAGCGACGCAAGATTGGCAGCGCGAAAGTGATTTTGAAGAAAGATACACTCGATAAATTTCGGAATCGATTGAGAGATGCGCAATATATGCTTGTGCTTTCTCGGCAGACATACTCGGACGCACTCCAAATGGAATACAATAAGCTTCAAATAGAAGCCGTTCAAAGTAATGCAAATCGTCAGCTGCAAGAATTCGAGGAGTTGAAAGTTTTCATTACACGTTATGCCGATGTTATGTCTAGTACCCTGCTTCAATCGCGCGATACTGTGGTTTATGATTATGAGACGAAGAGACCCATCAGAAGTAGAAGACGAGATAAGCTTGATAAGCAGGCTAAATACTTTCAAAGGAAATTCAACATTCCTTTATGGTTTTCATCTTCGAGCTATACTTGGGATTTTTCTGGGTATCAAGCACCTTCAGGGTGGAAATTCAACTTCCGACAATATTATACAATTGAACTTGATTCGCCGGCTTCTCAATATGTAACCGAAGGAGACCTATCTGGACTTCAAGTATTATTGAAGAGCAAAAGGGCCACCCCATCTGATAGAACATTCAACGGCCAGACATTGCTTGATGTATGTAAGCACCCCCCTTTTTTTAAGAGCTGTAACAGCCTAATTTGCATAGCTAGCTAGCATGTATGGACAATATGATATGTGCCGTCTTCTACTTGATCAAGGAGCAGACCCAAATGACTCTTCCAGGACGTATGTACTCTACACTTTATAGCATACACGGCTTTCAATAATAGTTGAGGCAGATCTGCGTTATCATACAGCGTTGGACGGTTCCACAAAGGCTCTTCTCAGAACAGTGTGCTGCAGCTACTGTATCCAATATCTGAGATTCATAATCCATTGCAAAATATTTCGGATTCAAATGTTGATCTTGACCGATTAGCTTGGCTGCTTTATAGTATTGATCCGACATTCAAAGAGTGGAGTTTCGAGGAGAGGATGATGTTCGCACTGAAAGTTTGTTACAAACTTGGTACTCTGATTCGTAGTACAGCTGACATGATATCACTAATGCTTCACGAAGATCAATTGAACGAAGCCTGCTGCAAGATGGTTTTCAGACACCGCCCTGAATCTTTTGGCAATACTCTACTATCAATTGAGCTTAGGTGTTTTGGTTCTGCGGTACAGGATTGGTTGGAAAGGAATGGAGAGTTGGCTATATACTCCAACTCAACTCGGCCGAGAGCTGGAAAAGCAGAATTTGGACCGAGTGGTCGATTTTCAAGGGCCAAGTTTTCTAAATCAATCGAATTTTCAGAGCGTCTCATCGCCGCAGGGTCAGAAATTTACCGAGGAGGTTTACTGTTTTCTTTGTTGACTAGAAACCATTGGTATTTCCCCCCTGACCTACTCCGATCATGGATATGCCCAGTTTCTATGCGACTTTGGCTCGAGATACTATACGATTCCGGCATTGATTTGATGAAATACGGTAGAGCAGAGCATGATAAATTCATGGAGAGTACCATTAAATGGGAGCTCTACTTGTACCATCAGGAAAACTTAATTGGTACAAGTGAACCACGCTATTGGTGCACTCGTGCACATCTCATAAGCTTTGTATATGGACCAGCTGTTGATGATTGGAAATTCTGGTATTCTTTGGACGAGCCGTATCGGAACTACTACAAGAGCTTCCGGGATTTCTGGGAACTAGTTGATCATCCAGAGAGGGGGATGCCTGGGGCTTGGAGGGAGTGTTGATTAGATTTTACATGATATGTTAGAACAGTATTCCATTGTAGATGATATAGAAAGCGTGGTTGGTGAAAAAAACTAAACTCTACGTTTTATACTATGGGTGGAGTGTGGCAATAATTTCTCTTGTCGGGACTATTCAAGATACAGATTACTGAAGATCTATCGGCTACTAGGTGTACCACTCGCCGATTTAATATATTAACATCAATCTACCGCCTTCTAATGCATTCTTCTGGCTGATCAGCCTACAATGTGTATGCTATAATCATGAGCTTGAGCTTGAGTCAGATCCTGAGGTGGAAAGAAGATTGAGATGAGCGAAATCACATCGAACTATTACTTTGATCCTCGGAAGGGGAAGCTCTCGAAACCTTCACTCGGGAATCGAAAGCTAAATCATGGCAATATGAGTTATGTATGATTGCACACTATAGGCATTATCCCGTATACTGAAGAATCTGAAGCTCAGAGCTAACTTGTCACATATGACAGTAATTCTGCGAGAGAAATAATGAGAATTGTCGGGATGAATGTTGATTCATTGATTCATGGAGTAGGATATCATGCAAGGGATCTCCCCATGACTAGAAGCATGTTTTTCCATCTCCAGACCAACCAGCTCACACTTGGTTATAGCTCTAAACCCATACCTCCCCATATCCGAAAACGACCTCATGGCGTAGTGGTAGGGTGTATTGCTCGAATGGCGTAGGATACACCGAATACTCGACTTGAGAGACGTGAGTGAGATTACAATGTATTATCCCTTAACCTGGCGAACATTGATAGATTAAGCCAAGTGGCCGAACTTTTGGTATTTCTTTTTTGTGGATGATGTGAAGTGGGGATTGCGAAGTGAATGACGAAGGAAGGTAGGATGAGATGAGATCGAGGTATAGGCTGAGTATGTAATTTTCGCAAAGTGGGTAGTAAGTGAGTGAATGGTAAATGGGGTGGTGGGCTCACAGTATATATAGAAATTCAGTCGATCATAGCAAAATTTATTGGGCAATGACAACATGATAGACTTACTCAGTACCAGTTATTGAAGCCATGCAAAAACCATCAAGTTTCAAACTACTTTGAAGTTTCTGGAAGATTCGGAGAAAATTCAAGGGGCGCGTTCGCAATGATTCACTTTAATCACTTGAAGAAAGTATTTGGTACTTGCGATTGAGTTGAAACGACAAGCGGTATATGCAACATTTCAGTGTTGTAATTTGGGGACCAGAAAGCCAAGAGAAATACAAGGAGCACTCTACATATAGAAGTACTCTACTCTTAATTCTGTCTCAGAATTGCTGGGTTGAACACAAATATAACAAGAGCTGTTTTCCGACTGTGAGACCAGATAGTTCACAAATATGAAGAAGCCAGATCATCTCATTTTCTGGATTATCAACTTAAACCATTCTCTTCACGATTCCAGAGAACGTGTCTAAGACTAATCCCACGATTTCTACATTCGCCTTTCCCCAACTCTCAAATGATTTCAGATACGCCACATCTTCCTTTACTGTATTCTCGGGGCTATTTTTCATTTTGTCAGTACTCTTCTTTGATTACCATAATCTTATTACATTCAATTCATCCACAAACACACAAAATAGGAAACACTAACTCTACAATAGCACCAAACTCCTCTCCATGAAGATCAATCTCAGGATGCTTCGCTTTCGATCTGTCCTGGAATTCAGATTCTGAATAGTGAGACATCCCGCAGTCATTGTGGTGAATCACAATAATGGTGCCTGTATTTCCTAGACTGTCGAGGGCGAGAAGGCTGGATAGAGCAGGACGAGCGCGTCCTCCCGCATTACGAAGGATGGCCGCCTCTGTAGAGTAGATTAGCTCTACAATGCTCGAAGAGCTTCAGGTTAAGGGAAGAAATTTACCGGCAAACTCAAGACCAAGGAATTTCTCAGGAGTGATGCGAGGATCGGCGCATGAAACTGTGGGTGGCATTAGACTGAATTTCAATTTTGGTTGGATGTAAGAATATCACCAATAACAGTACCACGTTTTCCAAGTGATTTATTCTTCTCTATTCCAACACTGAGTAGTGGTGGTTGAACATGAATGGTTTTGGAGTAAATTCTAAAAGTTAAGTTGTTAGTATTTGTGTGAACTTCTGAAGAAAGTCTCACTCACGAATTACGCTCGATAATACTTGCTATCTTCTCCGCTGACTGGGTTGACATGGTATAGGATCAGTATGTGTTAGGAGTATCTGTAGAGTCACACGGTATAATATGTCAGATTTCTTAGATTCAGGAATTGAAGTATTAGCAGTTCGAATAAAGTGTGATATTTCTCTTGTTTGAGTATAATGGCACGGCAGATATATATTAATCTTAAAATCTCGGGGCGTATTTGAGGAGTCATAAAATCGTTTCCGGAAGTTCAATATGTTTTGTTTGTTCTTGATTACTATTCTCTCCTATGCTTGCTCGACTTCACATTGTTGGAAAAATACATGGCCAATCGAGTAGATACTCGACGCCTCTAAGCACAAAAGTATCCAGACTTATGATTACAATACGCATTCCCATACTTACGTTCCCGCAATTGGAAGAAATCTAACACCAACTAATCGTCAAAAATAGTATCAGTATATTTCCATAGCCTTTCACGGCACTCAAACCTTGTCAATCAATAATCCAAACTTACCATAGTAATCCCATCAAAGACTCTATGCTTGTTGCGGAGTAAGCATTTTCTTTTGTTGCATGATTACCATTCATTTCTCATCATCAGCTCCTAAAAGGGCTCGCTTAAATCAGCACCTCGATTGTGGCGCTCTGGATAAAGGCATTGCGCGGGGAAAGGAGAATAGAGATGAGTAAGGTGTAAATGATTAATAAATATTCTGTGAGTTAATGCGAGGTATGCAAATGATGCAACAATTGATGCGTAGGTGATTAGACATTTGCACCGAGAAGGAGGGAGGTATGGAACATGATTAGTGATATAGAAGAGGTATATGTTAGAGGTTTTTGTCGCTGGAAAAATTTCTGAAAGGACTTTGTACAGATCAAGATCAGGATACTCAATTCATTTAGTCTAAGATATTTAAATAATCTCAACAACAATACAAATCTACAACTTCTAGGACAATAATAGAATGTCTTCTATAAAACCCCTTGTTCTCGTCATCGGAGGCACAGGCGTCCAAGGAATGCCCGTAGTCAAAGGCAAGCACTCATAAAACCCATATATTTCCCCTCAAATCAACTAACACTCCCTTAGAACTAGCTCAAGATGGCGCCTACAACATTCGCCTCGTAACTCGAAGTGCCAACTCTACACACGCGCAAGAACTGGCACAGCTTCCAGGGGTAACTATTGTCGAAGGAGATATCTATTCTGAGCATGACCTCCATAGATTCTTCTCTGGATGCACCCACGCCTTCATCAACACAAACGGTGGTGCCATTGGTGAAAAGGGTGAAATCTATTGGGGCATCCGTTATTACGAAATCGCACGCACACACAAGTTGCAGCATTTCTTGTACTCTAGCCTTGAGTATTCACTCAAGATTTCCGATTTTGATAACGACTATAGAGATGGTCATATGGATGCGAAAGCTAAGGTTGCGGATTGGATTAGTGTACAGGATAAGGAGAAGATGAAATGGAGTATCTTGACTAGTTGTTTGTATATGGAGATGTTGAATGAGCTTTTGGCTCCTCATCCTGTTAAGGACGACCCCGAGACTTTGGCTTTTATTGCGCCCTTGGGTCCAAGAGGAAGTGCGCCGTTGATTGCTTTAGAGGATTTTGGAAAATATACCAGATGGGTGTTTGATCATCCCGATCGCAGCAATGGACTTAATCTCCATGTTGCTTCCCAGGAAGTTGTTTGGGCTGATATTCCAGCCGCCTTTACTGAAGTGACCGGGAAGAAAGCGGTGTATAGAGATGTAACGGTTGATGGCTGGTTTGATCTTGGCCTCTTCCCGGATCCGGATGCGAAGTTTGGGCACAGTGCTCCTGGGGATGAAGGAACATTGCAAACGTATCGGGAGAATTTTGGTGGGTTCTGGAGGTTTTGGAAGAGTGGCAAGGTAAGAAAGGATTGGGCTTTGATGGATGAAATTTTGCCGGGAAGGATCAAGTCGGTGGGCGAATGGATGAGGAAGAGTGGGTACGATGGAAACATTAAGCCCTTGTTGCATGACTTTCATCAGAAAAAGAGAGAAGCCTAAGAAAGGAGACCGAATTTCGATACTGCTTCGAAATCTCAGGAAGGCCTGGAAGAAGGAAGATCTCGGTAGATTACCTCAGAAAAGACTTGGAAGACTAGGTTGTTAATGGATTCTATGATCAAATTCTGTCCTGCAGTGGCCATGATCGTGACCCCGGATAAAATCACACAGCATCTGAATAGTGGTATAGATTGACGCCAAATAAAAATAAATCCCTATGCCTGCCTGAATATGCCCTCCAACTCCCGATTCCGCCGCCGTTGCAATATTCTATAACCTTACTCATTTCTTCAATGCTGCAAATCTTGCTGCCAACTCATCCACATCCGGTATCGTACCTCCAACTGGACCCTTGCTTTGAATTCCAGGCTTTGACGCAGCCGCAGTTTGCATCTTCTTTGTTGGCTTCAGGTCTAGAGCCCCGCGAACCCTAGGATGCAAGTTGTCTGTACGAGGACTTGGTGGATTGACCCTAAGTGGGCTTGAGGGCCCAAAATTCTTTGGTGGGGTAGCTTTGCTCAACTCTTCTCTCTCTTCGTCAGCCTTAACGTTCGCTACTAGCGGCGCCTCCAGGTTCTTTTGTGCCTGTCCACCACTTGGATTCTCGTCATCGTCGTCATCATCTACAAATTCTGGGACTTGTCCAAAACCTTCCTTTGGCCTCTTTGGCCAGTCAACTCCATATGTTCTAGCAATCTCCTCCAAATATCCATTCACCAATTCCTGGGCTGGTGGTGTGACAGATAGCTTCTTTAACACTTTCTCCGAGACCTTCTCATCACTATTCTCCATCGCTTGCAACGCAAACTCCTTTCCGTACTTTTCGCACAATAAAGCGCGCACTTGTTGTAACTCCTTGATTTCTGTTCTAGGTGCAGCATATATCAAGCTCTTGACAGCTTCCTCTAAGCCCGCATCGCAAACCGTCGATTCCATGAGCCCAGTTCGCGCAAGGAGTAGCTCGCAATAGAGCTCGAGTATTTCATGAAGTTCGGTAGTGATATCTGATCGAATAATATTTTCAACTCGAATCTTTGCAGATTCTATTTTCCCAGTCTCTAGAAGTTGAGCCATAGCTCTACGTTGTTGTTTCGAAACAGCTTCATCTTTCTGTTGTACCATACGAAGCCGGGCAATCGAGAGCTTCAGTTGGACCTTGAGTTTAGACTTTGTAGGAGTTAGCATATGTATATATGGTAGATTATCAAAGGATTAACACTCACAATGACTGTTGAAGAAGGCGCCATAGTGATAAGAATCGATTGTTTATTATCTTGATGTTAAGAAAGTAAGTATGTAGTTACGTTGTCTGTCATTGCTCATTGCTCAGGACGTAGATTAAGTTGTGCGGGGCACACTTTTAGCTGGGCTGGGCTCGCTGGGGTCTGTGAATTACAGCTCGTACAGATAGGTACGGGCGGTCAATCACCCCCTGTATGCAAATTTAATCACTGTAGATCAAAAATTGGGTCGTCATTGGTTGGCTCGAGGTTGGGCATTTTCATACTTGGGAAAGAAATTCCCATCGCGCCTCAATTTGTCTTTTCTTCAATGTGTTTTCTATTCCTATTTCTTTTAATTAACTTCAAACTATAAATATGTCTACTTTTCCTTTGGCTATGCATTCAATTGAAGTTTAATGGTGTACACTTCTCGATCTTTCTTTTTCCTCATGCTCTTGTAATGCCTCACGATACACGACCAACACGATTCTAACTTTCGAAATCGACGTCTAGTCCAATCTAGGCATCTGTCGGTACCATTGAATATTTGGGACCTTACCCATACATACATGGTAAGATTGATAAAGTCCTTCATGCGCCGAGACACACATACAATATATACATGATGGGGAAGTCGATATGGAGTCCTAGCAGATGGGAGGAATGGGCGGAGAAGAGGGCGAGAGCAATATGGACCAACATGCAGACGAACAACTTGTGGCAGCGAATGCTGAAAAATACTCTGGCGACTACAATCTGTATTATTCTTGCAATTATCCCGCAGGTGGTAGCAGTTTATGGGAAAGCCGCATACCTTGCGCCAATGACCACCGTCTTTGGACATCCAGGAAGACGCTTCGGAATGATGGCTGAAGCTCTGATACTGGCTCTCTCAGGAACAATGCTTGGAGTGGCCTGGTCTATGCTCGCTTTATACTTGTCGAGTCTCATATATGACAGTAATCCTCAGGCGGCATTTACTATACGAGGCATATTTCTTGCTATATCGCTGCTCTTCCATGGAGTCCTAAGGTCGCACACGCCACGCCTATTTCTTATGGTGTTACTACTAGTTATAGTGTGCGTCGTGAGTATGACTAGTACAGCCACGGCAGTCACAACGCTCTCAGTCACCCAGCTTGTCTACCCAATCGTAACTGCTATCGCTGTCCTACTTGCCGTGAATACTCTTGTTTTCCCGGAGTTCTCTAGTAGCTTCCTGGGAATCACCACTATTGAGACCCTCGGCGAAACTGTTGGAGCTTTGCGGGACGCTGGGCGCTACTTTATTGCCAGTGCCGAAGGCTCTGAAATTGCAATCACAGATACTAAATTAGAAAACATCATAAGTGCCTCTGGAAGCGGAAATGGTGTAGACCTTGATAGACCTCCAACTCTCGCCGAAAGGCCTATCGAGAAGTCTAACATCAATCACTTGACTTTGAGGCAAAAACTACTTTCTTTTTTCCACAAGACTAAAGAAACTCCGGAACCGCCTCCAACAGACATCAACAAAGGTCCGCAACCAGTGAAGCTGAAATCACTGACCGATAAAAAGGCCCAACTACGTGCCAAATTAGCCGGATGTAAGGCAGCCCAACAAGAATGTAATTTTGAGCTTGCTTGGGCGGTCATACCACCGAGAGATGTGAAACCCATCAGTGATATTGAAATGAAGAAACTTGTGGCTAATACCATTGCTCTTATCTGTGCCTGTGAAAGCAAGTATGCATTAATGGGTGACGACGATGACAAGAAAGAGGCAGAAAC